GGTTTGATGGTCTTTCAGGGCCTTTAATGCTGGCATCATTCGTCTTGGTTTACCTCACAGTCCGGTTTGATGGTCTTTCAGGGCCCTTCCAACTCTGGCATCATTCGTCTTGGTTTACCTCACAGTTGCTTCTTTGGTCAGAACCTTCTCTTTGTATGTCCTCTGCCTGTTATACTTGTTCTTGCCCTCCTCAACCATGATGTTGGCTGTCACAGTCTGACCCAACTTCTCAAAGTCTCTCTTCCAATTGGTTATCTTCAGAATCAAGGCTTGAGTCACAGAAAATATGAAATGGCAGGCTCAAAGAGAGGAAGAAGTGGTTGTTCTGAGAAGATACATTAAGCAAATGCTGTGCTCTGTAGGGTTTTAGTGGCTGGTTTTTAGAAGTAGATCACCAGGCCTTTCTTCCCAGGGGCCTCTAGGTAGATTCAAACCACCAGCCTATTGATCAGCAGCCAAGAGCACCCAGGGACTCCAGGCAGCACAAAGCCTGGTCCACACTAGGTGCTTCATACACTTGTTGAATAAATGGAATCACCAGGTCCCTGTATTCTTGCTCCTCCAATGAGAATACTCTTCCTCCTCTTTCAGAAGACGCAAGATGTACAAAGAGCACCTGAACCTCACCTCCCTGGACCCCCCTCTGCAGCTCCGAGTCAATGCCAGCTGGGTCCAGTTCCACCTGGGCATCAACCGCCATGGGCTGTACTCCCGCTCCAGTCCCATGGTCAGCCAACTCCTCCATGACATGCAGCACTTTCCCACCATCAGTGCTGGTGAGGTTTGCGGCATCAGGCGGGCTCGGGTGACTTTTCCCAGAGAGGCTGGGTAGACCCTGTCAGGCCAGGCTCCTGGGAAGAATATTCAAGGGTTGACTCTGACACCTCACAGATGGGGTAATAATTCTAAGAATGTAGACGCTGATCTTTTTCCTTTTGAAAGAGATTTTGCAACTGTAATCTCATCACGACCCCATAAGGGAAGCATAAGCAGGTGTTCTGTGCATTAATGAATGTGACTGCTACCTTTTATTGGGAGCTTCTTTTGAACGTGGTAACTCCATGTGTATCAGAGTAGAACTGTGCTCTACAGGGTTCTTCAATGGTGGATGGCTCAGAAGGAGACCCCCAGGCCTTTCTTCCAAGGGGCCCCTGGGTGATTCAAACCACCAACCCTTCATTAGCAACACACATAGGGTCACCATAAGACAGAGGCTTCTCAACAGCTATTGGTTGTTACTGGTTTCTTTTGAACAAGGCAATATATTCTCTCTTACACAGTGGCATTTTGACAGGGACAGAATCAGTGCCATTTGACAGATGGAAAAACTGAGACTCAGGTTAGGTAATTGGCTAGAACCCAGTGGTAGAGCTAAGGTTCAAGCACAGGTCTGCTGACTGCAGGTCATGCTCCCAAGGCGATGACAGACTAAGTGATGAAGCAAGCGATTAACAAAGACAACATGAGCTTCAGTCTCTGCACAGGATGTGTCCACCGAAGGCCCAGTGAGCGTGAGGCTTGGGATAGAGCAGGGTGGAAACTTCAGCCAACTGGAGCTCCAGGAGACCCTCCAGGAGGTCTGCATCCCTTCCCTTGGTCTGCACCTGAGTCCAGGGCCGTGTGGTTGGCTCTCTCAGGAGCAAGGCGGGGTGTTCTCACTGCCTTTCTTCTCCTTCACAGATTACAGTCAGGACGAGAAAGCCTTGCTTGGGGCGTGTGACTGCACCCAGAGTGAGTGACCTGGCCCGCCTCCATCCAGCCCCCTCACTGTCACAGTCACGTAACCCCTGAGAGCTGCCGGCAACATGCACAGCCCAGTCCCCTGTCCAGCGGGGGCCATGGTCGGCAGTTGATGGAGCATGAGTCTGTGTCTCCCCAGGGAGCTCGGCGTCACTCCCCACCCACCCACAAAGAGGAAAGGCCATGGAAAAGTGACTCTTGCTGGTCCACACATGGTCCGGGGACCAGCCTCCCCTGCATATCAGCAGTGTATTAGAAATGCCGAATCCCAGCCCCACCCGCAATGCTGCAAATCAGAACCTACCCTTTAACAAAATGCTCAAGTGATTGGAACATGTTTTCAAAGTTTAGAAGCATTTGTATGAGATGGTGGTTTGCAACCCTGGCTACACATTAGACTTGCCTGGGAGCTTCAGAAAGTACAGATTCCGGGCCTGCACCTCCAGATTGTTCCACTCAGTTGCACAGGTGAGGCCCAGGCATCGGCATTTTTAAAACTCTCCAGGTGCTTCTAATGCAGCCAAGGTTGAGACCCACTGGAGTAGGTGACTAATAGAGCCAGAAAGATAGGACTAAGAGCAGGGCTCCCTGTGCAGGAGGCTGGGACCTCGACAGAGGTGGGCCTGGACACTGGCCTGCCCAGCAGCAGAGTAGTCAGGCAGTCACCACCGGCCATGAGGAGCCTCGCCCACTGACCCCAGTGTGTGAAACACACGTTGGAAATTTCTACATGTGGCATGACGTGAGAACAGTTTGGAAGGGGGTGTAGAGCCAAGGCTTCCCTTTTCCTTAGTTAAGCCAGTTGTTGCTCATGGTGATCCTTGTCAGTCAGAGTAGAGCTGTGCTCCAAAGAGTTTTCAGTGGCTGATTTTTCGGAGGTAGATTGGCAGGCCTTTCTTGTAAGGCACCTTTTGGTGCACTTGAACCTCCAGCCTTTCAGTTAGCAGCTGACTATGTTAGGCATCTGCACCACCCAGGGACTCCTTTCTGTAGTTGAGCACCAGCCATTTGCCATTGGATAGGACACAAAGGCGAGGGAGACATGGTCCCCACCCTCACGGGGCTCCCCACAGCAGAGCCAGGACAAGGGGAGGCAAGTGAGACACCAAGGTTCAGGAACCAGTTCTCACTGGAGGTCATGCATGTGCACCCCGGTTGACTCACCTGGTTCTTACTGAAGATCATCCATGTACACTCTGGTTGACTTGCCTGGTTCTCACTGGAGGTCATGCGTGTCCCCCCTGGTTGACTTGCCTGGTTCTCACAGGAGGTCATGCGTGTGCACCCTGGTTAACTCGCCTGGTTCTCATTGGAGGTCATGCATGTCCATGCTGGTTGACTCACCTGGTTCTCACTGGAGGTCATGCATGTCCATGCTGGTTGACTCGCTAGCCATACTAAGCCTTTTTCCAGTCTTAAATCAGGAGAGATACAGATAAACAGATCCATCTAATATTGAACAGTGACCAAATCTCTGTGAGTACAGTTGCGGCACAAAGAGGAAGGGGTCAACTCTTGGGGAGACATTTGTTGGCATTCCCAGTGAGCATCTATCTGGGGAAACCTGTTTTATTATGTGCCCTTTATCCTACCAGCAGATAAAGTATTGTCTTGAGCCCATGGACACACCCTCCATGGCCTGGCACCATAGAGATTGCCATGGAGGCTTTGACAAGCAAATCCTGACACCTCCTCTTTAGGATTTTGTTAAATAAGAGAAAAAAAAAAGGAGGCAGCTGGGTTTACTAATTTAACCAAGGGTCACAGCCCTGAGGCAGAGCCCAGAAACATCATTAATGTACCGTCTACCCCTTCCCAGTTGTGAAGCCCAGTGGGGTCCACCTGAAACTGGTGCTGAGGTTTTCGGACTTCGGGAAGGCCATGTTCAAACCCATGAGGTAAGTGACTGCCTTCCTCACCACCAACCACCATAACTACATTCCCTCAGCCAAATCCTTACATGGCACATTACCCAAAACAAAATCTCTGTGGCCATCAAGTCAAATCAAAGTCACGGTGACCCCGCGTGTGCAGAGTAGAACTGCTCCACAGGGTTTTCATGCTGTGATCTTTATGTAAACAGATGGCCGGGCCTTTCTGTGGCAGCACTGCTGGGTGGGTTTGAACCATCTACGCTTAGGTTAGTAGTCCATTGCAAAGTGCTCGGACCACCCAGGGACTGCCATTGTTGTTGTTGTTCTTAGGCGCTGTTGAGTCCGTTTTGACTCACAGAGACCCCACGTACAACAGCTCGAAACACGGCCCGGTCCTGCACCATCCTCACAACCCTTGCCGTGTTGGAGTCCGTTGTTGCAGCCACGGTGTCAATCCATCTTGTCGAGGGTCTTCCCCTTTTCACGGACCCTCTACTTTTCCAAGCACGATGTCCTTCTCCATGCTGGCCCCTCTGGATAAAATGCCAAAGTACATGAGATAACGTCTCACCATCCTCCCTTTAAAGGAGCACTCTGGCTATACTTCTTCCGAGACAGTTTTGTTCCAGGGTATATTCAAAGGGACCTACTACATACAGCAGGATGTCTCTTAATTTTTACAAACTAGAAGCTAAGGGAGAGCAGGTGAGCTTCTCTTTGTATCGGGAAGGAAAAAGACTCACATGTCTGTGTTTTATTTTCAGAAAGTGCATGAACTAACAGCCTAAAACCTCTTCTCTGGTCAATTAGAAACAACATACAAAAATTGTTGAAATTAACCAGTTGGTGTTTTTGTTTTGTTTTGTTCCAACCTTAGCTCACAAAAGCAAGCTTACCTATTCTTGTACCATAAGCCAAAGTTTAATCTCTGTTTTTATAACATTGAGTCCAAAACCACATATAGGATCATTTCACAGTGTTATTTCTTAAAAAAGCATGCACTTTTTCTATGGGTAATTTAAAGCCAGTAATATTTTGTTCTTTATTGAGAGGGATGCTGGAAGGTTATGTTTAGAAAAGATACATCATGAATAAAATCAAAGATTAGATTTTTTTTTTAACTTGTTTTTAGTTGTAGAGTTGATTCCAACTCACGCGACTCCATGTGGTTGAGAACAGAACTGCTCCGTGGGGTTTGCAAGGCTGTGACCTTTTGCCAGGAACTCACCAGGCGTATCTTCTGAGGGGCCTCTGGATCAGCTCAAACCACCAGACTTTTGAAGATGATGTTTCAGAAAATTCTAAAGGGATGTTCTATTCCGAAGGAAGGAACTCAGCTTTAAAATGAGACTGGGAAACCTGGAGGAGACTTCCTGGCTTAGACGTTGGGTGATGCTACTTAGAAGTGGGTCAGCTGAGTGAGGACCACTGCCTTGCTAAATGGGCTGCACCTTTTAAAGTAAAATCCCCACTTCTAGCAGGGTCTCTCGGGGGTTTCCAGGGCTGGCTGGGTTGTTTTTGTTTGGGTTTTTTTTTTTTTTTTTTTTTTTTTTTTTTTGGTGGCAAAGTGCACATCACTGTTTCAATGGTTAGGGCTGTTTATTTCTAGCTTTCTGAGTTTATGTACATTTCAATCACTTTTGCAGTCATAGTACAATCCCACACTGTGGCTTATTATATTAGTCAAAGATCATCCTTCTTCCATGTTTGTTAGCATCTTGGTAATGTCATCCTAGAGCCAGAAGCCACAGCTTGATGCCCTTACTGGTTGGAAGGTACTTTCCTGAACACACACATCCAGCCAGCGCATCATACTCGAGCAGGCTGATGCTTTTCAGGAATCCATTAGAGATTTTCCAATGTATATAAATGAACATCCTCCACACCAGCCTCCCATAACCTCCTAGCTGGGTCCCCTCTCCATGACCTGACTGATACCTTGTTTATTCCTCCCCATTACCCTACCAAAAACAAACAAACAAAAAAAACCCTCACTACCAATGAGTCAAATCCAACTATGACATAGCAACCCCTCCTTGGGTTTCCAAGGCAGCATCACTACGGAAGTAGATTGCCCCACCTTCCTTCCGAGTGGCTGGTGGGTTTGAACCGCCAGCCTTCTGGTTAGCAGTCAAGTGCCTTAGGCACTATGCTACCAGAGCTCCTAGAACAGTTAGTAGGAGACAACATAATATATGTTGTTGTTGTTATGTGCTGTCAAGTCGGACCCAACTCACAGCGACCCCTCCTTGGGTTTCTGAGGCAGCATCACTAGGGAAGTAGATTGCCCCGCCTTCCTTCCGAGGAGTGGCTGGTGGGTCCGAAGCGCCAGCCTTAATTAAGGTCCAGAATATTCACTGCTCTTCCAACTGCAGTCATTTGAAGTAGCATTTCTAGGGAAGCTCTCAGTCTACAAAGTCTTATCTCACACACCATCATTCTGAACGCTTGGGCTTCTGGTGCTACACCAGCTCTGATTCTCCTGACCCATCCCATCTCTCCCTCCCTCTCCTCTGCTGGATTTTTAAAAAATCAGCTCTTATCACCAAGAAAAGGGAGTTCTGCTGGCACAGTGGCTAAATAACTCAGCTGCTCTCTAAAAGGTCAGCGGTTTGAACCCATCAGCACTCTGTGGGAAAAAGATGAGACAGCTCTGCTTCCGTAAAGATTTACAGTCTTGGAAACGCTGCAGGGATCACTATGAGTTGGAACACACTTGATGGCAGTGGGTTTGGTTTGGTTTCTCACTAAGGAAGTTTGCTGTTTGGCACAAACGCTTTGTGCTTGACTCCTAACCTAAAGGTTGGGAGTTTGAACCCACACAGAAGCACCCCAGAAGAAAGGCCAGGTGATCTCCTTCCACGAAGATAGTGGCCAAGAAAACCTTACAGAGCAGTTCTACTCTGTGACACAGGGGTTGCTTTGAGGCAGAATCAACTGGATGAGGTGGGTTTAGAGTTGGTTTTTTTGTTTTTATCATTGAGGATTCTTAAGTAGGAAGCTTGGTATTGCTGGTGCCTATAGGAGGATGGGGAGCTCTGGTAGCATAGTGCCTAAGGCACGTGACTGCTAACCAGGAGGCTGGCAGTTCAAACCCACCAGCCACTCCTCAGAAGGAAGGTTGGGCAATCTACTTCCGTAGTGACACCACCTCAGAAACCCAAGGAGGGGTCTCTATGAGTCGGGTCCGACTCGACGGCACATGACAACATAGGAGGATGGGTGGTGAGACTTTGTCTCTCGTACTGTGGTCATGTTATCAGGAGGGACATTCTCTGGAGAAGGCCATCCTGCATGGTAAAGCAGAGGGTCACTGAAGGCAAGGAAGGCCCTTGAGATGGACTGACACCGTGGCTGCGACAATGGGCTCGAGCACAGCAACAACTGGGAGGATGGTGCAGGACCGGGTGGGGTTTCGTTCTGTTGTCCGTGGGGTCACTGTGAGTGAGAACGGGCTCAATGGCGCCTAACAACAACAAAGGAGCCTGATGGCACAATGGTTAAAGTGCTTGGCTTCCATGCAGCCTCTGTGCCACAGGAGAAAAGACCGGTGATCTGATCCTGTAAAGATTTCAACTTAGGACGCCCTGTGCAGTAGGTCTGCTGTGTCCTGTCGGGTCGCTGACTCAGAATCAAGGGCACACAACACAGGATGGGATTTTGTGAGAAGCCTGCCTCCTTGTCCTTTGCGTTGTCTCTTCTTGGCCAAAGGAACCAGGGGCCATACTGGATGTGTTGCTCTACTGTCTATGTGTACATACAAAAGCATGGAGGCATTTTGTCCATTTCTCTCTGGTCATGCTTGTCAGCTCTCTCCCCAGGCTCACTGAGGCCTGAGTCCAGGGCGTGATTCCTGCCTTCCTTCCAGACAGCAGCGAGATGAGGAGACGCCCGCAGACTTCTTCTATTTCATTGATTTCCAGAGACACAATGCTGAGATTGCAGCTTTCCACCTGGACAGGTAGGGCTTGGTCTAGCCCCATGAGGACGGCAGTGAGGGCAAGGGCCAACCCCAGAAGGGAGCACCAGGCAGACCCTCTGGCATTTTTTCCTTCCGGCTGTCTATCTTCTTCATGTGTCAGTGATGCCTTCAAACTCAGCAGGTCCATCCAACCCTATGGATTGAGAAACAATGTCTTTTAACGTCATGAAAAGAATACCTTATAGAGAAACTAACTGCCATCCTGCTCAACTTGCCACCTTGGGCGTGAAGGCTGCCCTTTGCTCTAGTTTCCTGATGGAGAATCAGGAGAACGCTTTCACTCCTGTATATCAGTCTTAAGAGAATGACTTGAAGAGATGAAAGACATTCCTAAACTTCCTAACCCTGCCTGTTTGCCCAGTCATTGCTATTCAAAGTGTAGTCCATGAAAGCCACCATGGGGACCACCCTGGAGTTTTAGAAAACGAAATAAAAAGCTTCTCATCCTACAGGACTAAATCTGAATCAGCATTTTCTCAAGCTCCAGGTGGCTCGTATGCACATTCAAGTATGAGAAGCACTGACTTAGAGCACTGCCTGGATGATGGGAAGGTTTGCCCAGGAGGCTACCTGGAGTGAGGGTTCCATTCCTTCTCCCATCCTTTAGATCTGGGATCACCCTGGGCACTCTCAGCTCAACACTACAGAGACCCCTTCAGCAGCCACTCTGCTGGGTATGATCAGGACGCCAGCCATTTGAAATGTGCAGAGGCCTGGGGATAGGACGCCTCCTCCCCATCCCTGACCATGCCTCACATCTGAACAGGGCTCCCTCTCTTCCAGGATCCTGGACTTCCGACGGGTGCCACCAACAGTGGGGAGGCTAGTGAATGTCACCAAGGAGATCCTAGAGGTCACCAAGAATGAAATCCTGCAGAGTGTTTTCTTTGTCTCCCCAGGTAGAGTACCAGCCAAAGCAGTATTCTGGGTCTAAGGACATGGGAGCCAGCATACCTGTCATTACATTCAGCAGTGGTCTGACCCCTGTTGGTGAGACCCAGTATGGGTAACGGATGCATTACAGGGATGGGTGCATGCTTCATCAGACACTTCCACCTGGACCCCTTGAGCATCACACAAGATGTACTGTGTATGGGAAAAGGTTTTGTGTGAGATGCTAACTAGCCCAGGTGGGCACTAAACCTACACACTGGCCTCCCTGGAATCAGATGTTATCCATCCAAGGTAACAAAGAATATTCTGATCCTATGGCAAGGACACTCGGAAGGAAGGTTGGGCAATCCTACTTCCGTAGTGATACTGCCTCGGAAACCCAAGGAGGGGTCGCTATGAGTCAGGGTTGACTCGACGGCACATAACAACAACAACAACAACATGGCAAGGACACAGTGAGTTTGTGTCCCACACTTTCTCTAGTCTGAGACCTTTGAAAATTGGTACCCAATACACGCCATTCAGTAGCACCCACTATTCCCTACATCTGGAAAAGGTGATGCTTCCTTCTTCTTTCTCCTCTTTCCTTCTCCCAAGCTGCACATTCAGGGTCTCCTCTTCCTCCTGATGGGTTGCTTGAGGCAGGAAGGTGACACTCTCCAAATCTCTCCTCTCATTCCTCCTCTTTCCTCCCCATCCTCTAGCCAGCAATGTGTGCTTCTTCGCCAAATGTCCATACATGTGCAAGACCGAGTATGCTGTCTGTGGCGACCCCCACCTACTGGAGGGCTCCCTCTCCGCATTCCTGCCGTCCCTCAACCTGGCCCCCAGGCTGTCTGTGCCCAACCCCTGGATCCGCTCCTACTCGCTGGCAGGAAAAGAGGAGTGAGTCAGCCCTGTGGATGCAACGTCATGCCCTTGGGCCTGAAGTCCAGTTCTGAGAGTGACCACAGTCACTGTCCCAAGGGCCTTATATTGATCCCAGGACCAGCTGGCTTGTGTCTGTTCTCTCCCTTTAGTTCATTTTTTCAGTTATAAAGAACCGACTATGTACCCAACACCAGGCGCTCAGAGATACAGAAATAACAGACACAGCCTCTGTCCTTGAGCAGCTCCATGGTCTGGTGGGGCAGACAGACAAGGAACAGTGTGGCCATTGCTGTAACAGAGTCACAGGAGAAACCCATGGGAGGGACACCCGGTTCACCTCAGTAGGCCCTATGAGATGTATCTTGATCATAGTTGTATCCTGAGCACTGACACACTCCCTGGCACATAGTAATCATCAATATTAGTTGACTGAATGAATCTGTCTATCATTGAAGCCACCCTACCTTGTGTGGGGAGAGAAGTCATCAGGGAAGACTTTCTAGAGGGCATGACTTATCCTAAGGGGCTTATAAAAGCTGAGTAAGAGCCAATCCGATGTAAAGGGGACATGGAAGCATTTTAGGCAGAGAACCATGTGGGAGAGAAATGACCAAGAATGGCTTCTAGGGGAACTATGAGTGCTTTAGAACTAGAGGGCCCAGGTCCAGAGGAAGCAGGTGAGTGGTACTGCACCAGCCATTCCCCAGCCTGCCCCGCCTTGCCCCTCTGGCATGTGCCACTCAGCCATCAGGAGTGTGGGTGCTTGGTGAATGTGCAGTGAAAGGGCTCAGGACCTTCTCACCATGTGGAATCTGCGGCCTCCCAGGTCTTTGCCCAGGATCCCAGCTGCCACCAAAGATGCTTCCACCAGCCCTGGGGAAGGTTGGGAGGGCAGGTGGGTGAGCGCCCCAACACCTTGCCACCTTGGCTTTTCCAGCCCCAGGACTTGTTGTCACCCTCAGGTGGGAGATCAATCCTCTTTACTGCGACACAGTGAAAGACATCTACCCGTACAATAGCAGCAGCCGGCTCCTCAACATTGTGGACATGGCCATCTTCGACTTCTTGATAGGTGGGCTGTGTTCAGAGCACCTGACAGAGGCGGCTTGGGTGCCGAGTTGGGGTTCAGTGAGAAGCCTGGATCATGATGACTGGCTAAGCCTCACTTCCCACATGATCAGCAGTGGTGGTGGGGTCCAAAAGGGCAGCAGTTACTAAAGAGCTGGAAGTAGAAGGGCCATCGAGGCAGGCGTACAACCCTGCCACAAGGCCCAAGGGGACAACAGATTTGAAGCTAATTGTGTCCCTCACTGAGTAGGAAGGGGTACACTGCATGTGGAGCAGTGGAAGGGCCCAGGGCAAGGCCACAGGCCCAAGAGGTGAGGAAAGCCACCTTTAAGTGCCCCGAGGGGACAGCCCTGGCTCTAAGTTCTCCCCTGGTTTGCAGGAAATATGGACCGCCACCATTATGAGATGTTCACAAAGTTTGGGGATGATGGATTCCTTATTCATCTTGACAATGCCAGAGGGTAAGTGTGACTTCCTGTGTCCCTGCACCCCCCCCCCCAGCCATTCTTCTTCGAGCAGCTATTCAGGGGAAGCCAGAGGCCCCTAGACGGAGGGGCCTCCATGGGCACATTCCCTGTCTCCTTCTTGGTCTTTTCCCGTTTCCTTTTTCTCTTGTTCTTTGTCCACGTGATTCTCCTGCAACCGAAGAGCATTAATGTGCCCCTTAGTGAACCAGATTGAAGTTTTAATTTTTTACTAGATGGTTTGCTCCTGGAGGCAGGGAACATAGCTTCACTCAGTAGTGAATGTCCCCTGCTCTGTAGTCAATGAATGAATGAATGAATGACCAAAGGCCAAAGGAATTGCCTGGTTTTCACATCTTTGGAGGAGCCCTGGTAGCACAGTGGTTAAGCTCTCAGCTGCTAACCAAGAGGTTGGCAGTTCAAACCCACCAGCTGCTCTGTAGGAGAAAGACCTGGCTGTCTGCTCCCGTAAAGATTTACATCCTTGGAAACCCTATGGGGGCAGTTGTACTCTGTCCTATACTAATGCTATGAGTCAGAATCAACTCCACAGCAATACGTTTTCACATCTTTGGACAGTCTTTTGTGATCTGATTCAGGAGAGGGTGGGGGAATCAGCTGCCACGATCGCTGGCATTTTCATCCAGAGATGTGATTCGAAAAGTCTGTGATCAATCACAAAAGGACAAATACTGTCTGAGACCACTACTGTAAAAAGTCAAGAAACGTTTACACACAGGAAAAAGCATTCTTTGAAGGCTACCAGGTGGGAAGAGAAGGAGGGTAAATCACTAACTAGAAGGTAAACATGTATTAACTTGGGTGAAGGGAAAGGCAACAGAGAGAAAGGGGGAGGTCAGCACCAAATGATCACGGCAGAGGACACCGGGAGGAGCACACGAGTTCAAGGCAACAAAGGCGAACACCATTACAGACAGTCCTGCAACCACCATCATCTACAAGAGGTTATGTAGACACACAAACTGAACAGGTGTGGGAAGGCGAATGTGACTACATCCACAAACTGATCTAGGTTTGACAGAGGCTATTCCTACATGTGTATCTATATGTGCTGCAAATATATCCATGAATATTATAGAGCCTATGGGGGTCAAAGTTATGAAGACTTACTAGCCATAACCAAACACTTTGAGGGAATGAGTCACTGGATATGGGGGCTCAGGACCATAGTCTCAGGGAACATCAAGGTCAGTCGGCACAACAGAGTCCATAAAGACAAGGTTCTACATCCTACTCTGGTGAGTGGCGACTGAGGTCTTAAAAGCTTGTGAGCGTCCATCTAAGGCACAACTATTGATCTCAACCCTCCTGGAGCAAAGAAGAGTGAAGAAAATCAAAGGCACAAGGGAACACTTAGGTCAAAGGACTAATGGACCATGCAAACCCCAGCCTCCCTGACCCTAAGACTATAACTAGATAGTGCCCGGCCACCACTGCTGACCACTCTGAAAGGGATCACAATAGGTCCTGGATAGAGTGGGAGGAAAATGTGAAACAAAACTCAAAATAATGGAAAAGATCAGGCTTACTAGTTTGATAGAGACTGGTAGAATCTCAAGACTATAGCTCTTAGTTATACTTTAAGCCTGGAACTCAACTCACCCCCGTGGCTCAACTACCAGCCAAACAACAGACAGGTATGTAAGATGGGCAATAACACCAGGGAGGTATGCCCTCCACAGAACAATCAATCACACACAAAAAGAAAAAAGGCTGAGGTGGAGAGAAAGAAACATTAAGGGAGAGAGAAAAAGGCTGGCTGGCCACCCACGAGCACCCATTTCTTCTCCTAGGTTCGGACGACACTCCCATGATGAAATCTCCATCCTCTCGCCTCTCTCCCAATGCTGCGTGTAAGTTTGCAGTTAAAGGGCAGTTAACAGTCATGACATTTGATCCACCTGCAACCAAGTTCTGAAGGTCTTTGTCAAGTTTACATCGGTCTGGGTGATGGGTGGGTAGAACGGCACAAATGACCTGAATTCCCTCGTCACTTACGCTACAAGTACAGCATTTTCCCAGCAACATCTTAAGACATCTTCATCCTGCAGCAAGATGAATTAGAATCTCATCTTTTAAACCTTTCGCTCATCAGCTATAATCTTGAACCCACTCAGATAATCACACACTTTTGCAGAGCCTGACAGTCTGCGGTTATTACTCATCAGACCCAACACTGAGAGCTCATAAATACTATTTGATCACTATCTGAAGCAAAACCCCATAAACTCCTATCAGATTGAAAGGAAGCACGGGGGCCTTTCTTTGAGCGCCATTCTCTCAAGAGCATCTAACCTCCTTCCTTCTCTCTCTGGAATCTCAGCCAGGCTTGTAAAATTGCCCACCTGCTCAGCCACAGTGTCCAGAACTAATTATAAATATGTGATTCGCACCTAGCAAAACCATCTCGTTCCTTTCCAACGAAAATTGGAAAATTCAGAGCAGAGCATGAATATTTTTAATCAACTTCTTAGGTTAATTTAAACATCTTCCCTCTTTGCCTCCCTTCTTACCTGAGCAGGGCAGACAGTTGCTGTTTATGACAAGAGATAGGCAATTACACTGCTTACCCATCCGAGTCCGAGTCAGGTATCACACAAATCAAGATCCTAAACATTGGTCCCATCCCATTTTCATCCCTGATTTTAGAATGGCACAGAAATACAATGTTGGCAACAAACAACTTGGAGGCTGGCAGTACCCAGGACATCTGAGATGGCAGACAGATTTCATTTCACCCACTCGTAACTTCTCAGTGTATCCTCTTAGGAGACTCTAAGTGTCACTTCTGTTTTGATTCCCTTAGCAGTATCAGAGCCCGTGTACATGGCCCAGCACATGTGGCATCACAATTACTAGAGGACAGTTAACAGACTCCTGAGCCAAAGGCATTTGGGCAAAGGGCCACAGAACACTGGACATACGTCACCTCTCGTTCACGGAGTAGTCGTTAAAATGTGCCGGACACGACACTGGGGAAGGCTGTCAGAACTGTAGCTACAACGGGTCAGCCAGTTACTTTCCTTATTTGGTTCTTGACTTTGTTGTTTCAGGATAAAAAAGAAAACGCACTTGCACCTTCAGCTGCTGGCCCAGGCAGACTACAGGCTCAGTGATGTGATGCGGGAATCACTGCTGGACGACCAGCTCACCCCCGTCCTCACAGAGCCCCACCTCCTTGCCCTGGACCGGAGACTCCAAATCGTCCTGAAGGCAGTGGAGGGGTGCATAGAGGCCCATGGGGAAGACAACGTCATCACCAGCGGCCCAGGCAAACCAGACTCTGGCCACCCTAACTGGACAAGCTAGGGACTAGAAGAGTCAAACATCAGAAAACACCTGCAGCCAGCAGTAGACACCCTTGTACCTGTTGATGCTGGTGACCATGAGTCATGAGCTCAGGAAGGATGGAGGGCACTGGGACTACTTTAAAACCTCAAGTGACATCCACTGGACTTGATCTTCATTTCTTGGTGCGTGGCTTCTAGAATGAACTACCTTGGCTCCCCTTCCCGGGAAGCATGGACTTCTTCAAGGCCACAGACTATCTTCCAAGTCCCCTGGGAATGTGGATATGAGTCAGGCTTGGAAGGTTTGGGAGCACTGTTCCCAGGAAAAGTATTAACCATATAACTAAAAGGACATTAAGTGAGTACCTAACATAAGTAATTCCTGGTCCAGATAAAAAACAATCCTCTAACACTTCATAAGCAGGCCAGTAAGTTGCCAACAGTAACTCTTAAACTGGCTTAACTGAGACTTCACACTTTCTACTTATACTCCAGTTCTTGTGGCCCAATCTGAATACAATAAACCCATGGACTGATTTTAGAATAATGTCTCAAATCCAGCCATTTCTGTGACAATGGGCTGGTTTTCAAATGCCCCGGATTAAAGTTGTTGTACTTTACAAACTGAGAGTAGTATAGGACTGACCAAAAAAAAAAATACGTAACACGATGACATCCGAGAATTACTAAGAAAACTAGCAAAGATTTGCTCAAAATAGCCCCCTAATAGTTGTTTAGGGAGTGCTGGTAGCATAGTGGCTAAGACACTTGCCTGCTAACCAGACGGCTGGCGGTTCAAACCCACCAGCCACTCCTCGGAAGGAAGGTTGGGCAATCCTACTTCCATAGTGATACTGCCTCGGAAACCCAAGGAGGGGTCACTATGAGTTGGGTTTGACTCGACGGCACATAACAACAACAACAATAGTTGTTTAACCAGAAGTGCATGAAGTAGCGATTGAAACTGCATTAAGCAAGACAAATGTCGCAACACAAGCAGTCCAGTGCAACAGGAGGAATTTCAAGGGACAACCGGAGAGGTCCGGAGCACCAGCACGGGACCAGGCCTGGCAGCAGGTGAGCCTGTACTCAGGCAGGAGGCCTGGCTTCGCTGGGCCCTCCACAGCCCTGGAGCACCAACCACAATCCTCTTAGCACCTGCCCCAGGTAACAGGGCGTTTCCTCCCCACAGAGCGGCAGGGGGCTAGCCTAAGAATTCTGCTTCTGCTACTCGAGATGCCCCTCCCCTCAGCTGCTTGTTGAAAAAGGGCTAACTCAAATTTCTTAACTTTCCCTTAAAAGCCACCCAGGATATTAGGGTTCACTGTCTCTTCCATCTTCTACCTGCTGACTTGCTGGCATCTGAAGCTCCATTAACAGGAGGGTTGGGATGGGCCTTTGTTTCTTACTCTGTAATTAATGAAAACACCAATGACAGGAATGTACTCACACTACCACACTGTGGAGGGGTTAAGCAGTCAACAAAGAGCCTAATTTCATCAAATCACTTCTCTCTGATACAGGCCAGAGACTCAAATACCCCAAATGTGAAGGGAGTAGAAAGTTGTCACTAGAATGTCAGAACCAGAAATGTCACCCAAGACTTCTGCAATGTATCCAGACAGCCCTGTTAGGACAAATAACAAGTACTCCTAACCTACCT